CGGTAGGGTAACAAGGGAACGTGTTCAGTGCAGATCAGTGAGTAAGCACAAGCCCGCCTTGTTTCAGTGCCTATGCTTAAATTGCCCCCTGGCTGAACACTCAATATGAACCATATAATTAGGAAGAATCTATAAACCACTTAACTTTTCCAATAAATAATGTTGTACTTCAGTAGTCACATTTATAATTATCATATTAAGAAAAAATATATTGTCACTTTATAATTAGCTATCTATTTTGCTATCTGCATTTCTAGATAGTATACAGTTTACTTGTAAGTAGTGTATATGACTGTAATTTACCTACATGGCTTTGAGACCTATTATCCCTTATAAGTCTACATCCAAATAAAAACAAAAGAGCCTTATAGGGCATTATGTAGATTAGAATTGTTGTACATGTTTGAGCAAACAGGCAACTGTGATCGTCTATGGAATAATAACACTTACAAAACTACAATCTATGTTATTAAAATAAGCAAATTAGCTGCCCAATTTTGAGGTGGTATTCCTTTTAGGTTTCAATCATGGATTTGATCTTTGTAAAATCCCTGAATATTTATTCATTCATTACTATATAGTAAATATTTTTCAACATACTATAAATCTATCTTGTATTATTTCAAAGTCTGTCACATTTAACATGTATTTTCTTCTTTGTTCAATAAAGAACTGTTGGTTAAACGATACTCTGAGAAGCTGTGTAAAGAATTTCACTCTCCTGCCCCTCAGGCCTAGAAATGGACTTCCTTCTGGGATCAGCTCTCAGCTCAACCATAGAAAGACCTACATGCAGAACACCTATCCTGGGGTGATGCTCCCACCTCCTCTAGGGAGAGGCACCCCTTAGACCAGTCAGCCATTAGACATCACGTGGGCAGAATTCCCATGGAGGGAAAGCTGGGCAGACATGGTTAGGAAGGGCACAGGGAGAGCGTAGTCATAACGAGGAAAGGGGAGGAGTTTTTATGGTTGGGCATTGCAATCGGGACCATGAAATCAAACATGCATGAACTGTTGAATGTAAAACAAATCTGCTTTATAAATTTGCACCCAAAGCACAACTAAAAAATAAAATAAAATAAAAATAATGTCTCTCTCCAAGTTTCAATGAGGGGCATTCCCCTCACCTGCAGAATTTCAGAAATTTTATCCATGATTGAAGGCTTAAATGATGGGGTAACTTTTAAAACCAACCTTCCACACACCAGTACAGAATTAAACAAAACCAATGTTTATTTTATTATGGAGTTGGAGCCCTGAAGCCTCTCTTTAGAAAGAGGAATATTTTATTTCCTTTTTAAATTTTATTTTTTTGAAAAAAAAAAAAAAAGAAACATCTTAATGAATAGCTTTAGTGTGAACTAATCATAAAATCAAACATTTCTTTTAAAATCTGAATTTACATATTGAATTTGATCAAATCACATTTATTTCAATTTTCTAGAAGGGTAGGGAGAACAAAGAAGTTTTGGCATACAGTTTTCAAAAGGAAAAAAAAAAGAACTTTGAATTGTAAGAAGATGGAGTTCATAAAGTATTCTTCTTTTTTCCTCAAAAGGAATTAGAAGAGTCAGCATGTTGCTATTGCTCTTTGACGTGAAGACTGGGTCTTTGTTTTATGTCGTCTTTTTTCTGAATCCTGCAATGCCATCACAGCAGAGTGTACTGTACACCGCTTTAAATGATAAGAGTTTCAATAGGCACTTTAGTGGAATTAAGAAAAATCTAACACTCTTCCACCGTGATGCCAGATAGCTGTCTTCCCTCTAGGTTGTCATGTGAGTAAATTGTATTTAATAGGCCTGAGCTTGTCTCAGTGTGTTTCCAAAAGAATAAAACAAAACAAAGCAAGTATATATTATAGGATTTATCTCGTGTTGGCAGAATAAACCGAAACTGACAATAGGATAAATAGAGTAACTTGCTAGAAATCAGATAAAGGAGTTTTGTCCTGTAAAGCCTGTGTGTGCATGTGTATGTGAGAGAGTTCTCTCTCTCTCTTCCTTTTTCCTTCCTTCTTCTTCTTCTTCTTATTTTTATTTCTCCTCTTGGTTGTGTTTTTTGCTTTCACTTTCCCCTAAGTGACTTTATCAGGGTTATAACTCTCCTCCTCACCAAACATGTCTGCCAAGACTTTAAAGCGGGGTCCCCAGTCTGTCAGAAAGTCATAGTCCTGGTCAGCCTCTGTGGTGAGAGAGTCTATGGAGCTGAGGGATTCCGCTACAGATCCATTTCCTTCGTAGGCGTATGTGGCCAAGGAATCATATGGTGGGGCGGCGGGGTCCATGTCATTTTCCTGTAGCCTTTGATTAATGAAATCCCTTATATCTGTGTTGTCTTCCATTGCTGGTCTCTGACGAGGTAAACAGAAAGAGTCTGGTTTGATATCCCTGCGAATTTTGTTGTCTTCAATGACTTTTGGATTTCTCAGAGCACCAATGTCGAAAGCCTGGGTGTCTTCCTCCCCACCTCCTTCATCATCATAATGGATCACGTTGTCTCTGATATCTTCTTTAGAGGTCATCAGGGTGTCTTTCTTCTTCTGTCTTCGCAGAGCTACGTACAGCACAACTATGACTAAAAGGAGACAAAAAGGACCATTTGAGAGAGAAAGGATATGTCAGAGCATCCCTCGATAGAAACTAAAAATGTATCAGAGCTGAGTTTCCTTTGTGATACTCTGTTATTTTCAAGGTAAACATACTATAATCAGTAAGGATGATACAGATGTTTATATATTTTTTCATTGTCTAGACTAAATTTTAAATTGTAAATAAGAAGAAAACATAGCAAAATCATTCACAAAACCAAACAACTGAAACATATTGCATTTAAATATTTATATGTTAGGTAAAAATAATGTGTTACAAAAATGGAAAAGAATAATATTGATGCCTTTTTAGCTGTGTATAAAACTATATAGGGTTGAGGAAATTCAATTTGAGTATTATTACCTGTAAAAAACATAGTATTTGTTCATAGTTAAATTACAATGGTAATGTTATTTGTGTTTGTAATGAAATAAAACCAAATCCTCACTATACACTTATTTTTCAAAAGCACTGAGAGAGAGAAAGGGAGAGAAAGAAATCAGTCAAAGAAAGGAGGGAGAGAGGAAAGAAGAGAAGAAGGGAGAAAGAGAATATAAGACCTTAGTTTTGCAACTCATATGAACTAACCTCCTTCATTAACTTCAATTCTATGTCTTACCATATTGAGATATTTTCAAAACTAAATGTCTATTATTCAGGTCAACTTCACAAAGCAAAAAAAAAAAAAATTTGAAATCATTAATTTATATAATTCCTTGAAAGAAATCTTTCTTTGTTCCCAATTGCCTCTGAATGGTTTAGCCATAAAACAATGGTGTTTGTGTCTAACCAAAGTGGTGGATGGTCACAGGTAGAAATAATGAAGTCAGTGCTCAACTTTTCTTGTCATAATCCCCACCTTCTTCTTCAAGGAAATTACAACAGTGTTTTAAAATAGCAGAGTTTGGAATACTCTCATCATTGAATTAGAAAATGAAGAATATATGATGATGCAAGCCAATTCATTTGTTTTTCTCCGTGTGATAGTTAAGGTGTATGTCAACTTGGCTGGGCCAAGGTTTTGATTTGCTTAGCAGCTGGGTGTAGTTATTCCCCATGGTGAGATAGTAATCAATTCCATAGAGGAATCTGCTGTGATTAGCTAAGACATTGAAGGGAAGTTAACTTTGGGATGTGGCCTGCTTCTAGTATATATGGAGAAGGTTTTGGAAGGTCTTGAGGCTGTGTTGTCTTCCCATCCTGGGGTGGTTCCTGGACTTGAAACAGAGCCCTGCCACGTTGCCTGCTGATGTTGGGACTGTGCTATTTTACCTGCTGATATTCAGTTCATCAGCCTCAGTAGCCAACAGCTGCATGAGTTAGAAGAAGCCTCTAGCTCCAGTCAGCCTGGAAGAAGAGGCAGAGCTAAGGCCCAAGGTCTAGTGGCCTTCACCCAGCCCCTAGAGCTGGCACTGATAATTTGGACTTCTATCTTCCTAACCTGTGAGAATAAATTCCTCTCTGTTAAATCCATCCAGTTGTGGTATTTATTTTATAGCAGCACTAGTGGTCCAAGTCACTCAAAATTTAGAGTTTGACAAATTGGAAGGAAGGAAGAAATAAATTTACAACTATGGTTCAAAGGGTCCTGGAGCAATATCTAGACCCTATACTCCCCCTAGTGTTTAGGGAACTCTCAGAACTCAAGAGATTTTTGCCCATCCACCTGTGAGATATTATAAGCTTCAGAGTCAAGCCATGACTGAGGAAGGGATTAGGCCCATGTCTCTGAGCATCCAAAAAAGAGGCTTAAGCACCTCAAAATTCCTGTGCTTCCAGCAATGTGCCAAATGTGAGTGGTGAACATGGTGGCTTCCAGCCAAACAAAAGACAAGCATATGAGGTGAATATTTACACTAGGTAGATACACCTCATGGAGAGAAAAATCAGGGTAGAATAGAAGGGCTGTGTATGCACAGGGACATAGCTCAGGGTGCAGGAGTGCATGGAGGGAAGGACACAGGGAAGAGATAACTATGTGAAAGAAGTGGAAGGGGAGCTGTTGCACTGTGGGAAATTTTAGTCAATGTCATGAGACAAAGTGTATGTGAACTGCTGGATGGAAAGTGTATTTCCTCTGTAAACTTTCACCCAAATCACAAGTAAAAAAAAAAAAAAAAAGTGCTTCCCTTCACCCCAAGGAGGGGGTATCAATATAGCTGAGAAGAAGCTAGAAGACCTAGAGGAGCCTAGAATATGTTAAGGAGGTTTATAAATAGATTTTTAAGCCAACTCTAAAGTAGAACTACAGGGGTCTACATTCCTTATTGTATTTCACAATGCCCAGGAGAGTGCAGTCCCATTATCAAAAATGATTTAGATACGTGAGTGGCAGATGGCTGTGCATGATGATAGTGACATTTCTGACTGTACTGCAAGATGGCCAAAGAGGCCAGAGGAACACAACCAGAATTTTCCAGGTCATACCAGATTGATATAGAAACACTCTGAGATCCAAACCATTCTTAAAGAGGACACGAGGAAAGCTTTGCTTGAAGATAAAGATCTAATTGCTCATGTTCAGTTTTAGAGGTGATACTGTTATTTTGAAGGAGCCCGTGTGGCCTGGTGGTTAAGTACTTGTCTGCTGATTGGAAGGTCTATGGTTTGAACCCACTAGACATTCCATGGCAGAAAGATGTGGCACTCTGCTTCCACAAAGATGAGAACCTTGGGAACCCTATGAAACAGTCCTATTCTGTCCTATAAGGTCACTATGGGTTGGACTCAACCCAATGGCAATGGGTTTTATTTCATTTTTGATTTATTGTTACTTTCAAACAACCATTCTAATACTTCTGATATCTGCACAGATGAAATAATTTGTTATAAATTATAGGCATATAAGAATCCTTTTTCTGCACATTCGAGTAACTTGTTGCCTAGAATTAATAACTACATCATGTGAATTAGGCTAAAACTTCACTCTGTAAGCCAGTGTGAGCTCTACAAAATATTGGATAATGCCTTACTCCATGTTTTATACAGTATTATTATTATTTTTTAATTTTTCTTTTATACCCTAGAAATAAAGTTCTCTGTTTACATTTATCAAAATAAATTTTGTTTTAAAAATAATTAATTTATACATATAAACAGATTACACAGTGGATGCCAAGTGTATATCTGTTGCATTTGAATTTAAAGGCATGAAAGGCAAAACCAAAAAGTAATGTGTAATATTTTTTTAAATCAGGTAATGAATTAATAAGTGAAATGTAGTCAACAAAACAGATGATGGAAGAGGGACACCCTAAAGGAGGTTTATATACACTCTAAGAGAGATGTTACAGAACACATTGACTTCCAACATTTTCCTTCTCAGTGCTCCCAGATATTTTAGTCTCTTCTGTTATGTTCTACCAAGAATGGTTAGAATCAGGGCTTTGAATTAGTTTGAATTGATTCAGTCATGGCTAATGCAATAAAAGAGGCACAAATCTCAATATATAAAATGTGAGTGTACCAGAATGATAATAAGAATGGGAAAAATTATGGGTTGAAGCCCTGAAACAAGAGACTCAGTGAGACCTTTCAGGATCCTGATTCAGAATATTGGATTGTTATGGAGAGCAACATTCATTCAAAATGGTGTGCTCGGCCACCATTTTTGAACTGGGCACTGTTGTTTCTAACTCTGCAGGTGAAGAGATTTGGTTGCTCTGCAACCAAAAAATCAAACTGCCTTTGTTTCCTTGAAGGGAAATTAAGTTTCTAAAATTGCATCAACTGTTAAGTTTTTCTGTTCTGGTTATCATTCTAGTACACTACATTTTATGAATTTGGGTCTTTTCTGGTTTTGTATCATGGACAGTGAATGAACCAGAAAGAAATAGTTTGAAGCCCAGGTTAGAATTTTGATATCAGCAGATGTTAAAAAATGGAAGAAAAATTCCTTCAGGCTGACAGTTAAAAAAAAAAAAAGAGGGGGTGCTCCTTCTCTCTCCCTATTTCTTTCTTCCCTGTGTTTCTTTCTCTAGAGAACTGCTGTCCATCTATCATTTGTCAAAAAGTTCTATAACCTCATATTATATACTAGTAGTTACTGGTATGCAGAATTAATTAAGAAAAACTTTGTTGTAGATGGATTTTTTTTTTATAGTATTTCATTGCAAAAAGGCTCACAAACTGCTGTTACTGGAGAATCTGCTAGGGCTTGACCAGATCTTTGCATATTTTGTAATGATATCACTTATTCATCCTTAATAACATATATGTCTCAAGTATGAATTACAAATTAACTTTAATACAAATTTAATTTTTATAGACATGCTGTCTCAATGCAGAAAAAATGATTTGCATGGTAAATTGTGAAGAGGCAATTATAGAGAGACGAGAGAGAGAAGACATAGAGAGAATGTGATTAATACTGCAACCAACCTAAGAGTATCACAATGCATAGTAGGATTGCTATCAAAGCCCCAGTGCTGAGTCCTACAGGTAGAAAAATTGCTTCCACATTACAAGACAGGATGGTACCATCAGAGTCACATCTACAAACTCGAATAGTCATTGTGTTGGTGCTGCTCTGGACAGGATAACTACTGTCTTCTATGACAACGGGGAGGAAATACAGCTCTTGCTGCCTGCGGCTGTATCCATTTCTTCGGGTTTCAATTCCAGCTGTGTTGTCTACAAAACACGACATTTATAATGAGATGGTTACTGTGAGCTTCACTTCAAAGTTAAAGCTGGTATCTGTTAAACAGTGGGAAACTCTTCTTGGATCAGTAAAATCCATCCGTATTTTAATTCTTTCTTTTATCATTATGAAATCTGGCAAAATGTTATCAAGTGTAATCAAAAGAATCCTTCAGGAAAGAATAATCTTAATTTAGTCTGGCACACAAAATAATATTTCTATTCAGAATGATTGTAGGAAAAATGAAAAAGTAAGGGTACTGTGTTGATATTTTCCCCCTGACATCAAAATTTCACTGGGAAGAAAAAATTATATGTGTATATATTCTTACATGATAGAAGAGCAAAGATTAAAAAGTATGAGTCTATAAAATATCGTACCTGAGAACCTGTCCTTTCAAATATAACAAAATTCGATTGACTATTTTGGAATAAATCTTGTTTTTTTCAAATCAAATAAGTACATAATTTCCTTCTTTTCCTTCAGTTACAAGATAAAAAATTGAAAAACTTCAGTTAAAATTAACTGTGTTACAAACATCATGATCATATATTTAAAAAAATGAAAAATTATAGCAATAACCATTTAAATATAATTAGAAACATATTTACATTAGTGCTAATCACTGATAGAAATATTTACTTGGAATAATCTAAGACAATGAAAAACTTCTACTTTTATATACGTGTAATTCAGATTTGTTATTACACTTATAAGCAGCCATTCCATTTTGTCCATAACAGTATTTTATTTGTTTGTATCTATTAAAGCAATTCCTAAAATCACTGGTATTTTTTTAATCTATGAATATTTAGTTTGATATAACCATGCATAACACACATTGATAACCAAATGAAATTACTTTAGAAAAACATTATCTTTACAACATAGAGCTGTCATAAAATGCCATTGTTTGAATCATATTCAGTTCTGCTGTTTGTAGACACTAATTTGAACAATCAAAATCTAAGCAATTGTTCTACATGTACCGAATTAGGAAGCAAAAGGTGTCAAAACCTTATATGATAATAGTGGAGTCCACTGTGAGAGATTAAGATATTATTATTGTATAGAGAAGATTTGAAAAATGAAAATAAAAGACCAAAGTGTCTGATAAGTTTATTAAAACATTCCCCCCAAAAAAGGAGTTTTTGATGTTAGGCATTTACGGAGACTATAACAACAACAACAACATAGGAATAGAAACATTGAGTCAAGTTGAAATTATGTGAAATCTTCAATAATTTGTGGGTCAATACTTCAGGCTCAGGAAAAGAATACTCATTAAAGTTCAACATCTGAATGAAAATCATTCATAGAAATAGGAATTCAGAAGGACAAATTAGTTTACTTTCACTTAATATTTGGGGAAGATTTAGTATATTTGAACAAAATTGATGTCAAGAACCAGACTAACCAATTACGCTTATTTCCAATCTATTATTATTTCTTGAGAACTGATCACACATAATTTATCATGTTGCCATAGTGGGAAGAAAAATGTGCTAAACTTTGTTCTGCCCTCAAAATTGTTCCTATTTTTAAAAAATAATTTTAGAAACATAATTTAAGATAAAATGATGAATACAGTAAATGTCAGATGAGTTACAAATAAGTTCAAATTGTGAAAAAATACAATTTTTCAGGAACTTGTCCCTTCTGAAAACATGACTAAAGTAGGTGAGGTGAAGTCTGGCCATTCTTGCTTCTAAGTGGTATTCCAGCTGCACTTATTCCAGGATATATTTATTCATTTTTCTGATATGAGGCAAGATGTGTAGATCCTTGTTATAAATAAGCTGACACAGTTTCTATCATAAATATCCAAAAGAAAATAAATACTATGTTTAGTGAATGGCGTAATTGTCAACTTCCTTATCTAAATCAGTGGTCTGGAAGTCTTATTTATCTTATTTTTCTCTGTCAGTTCAATCCTATATTGAATTTCATGGAGCCGACACATAGTGATCCCTACTTGAGTTTCCAGGGCAGTGTTACTATGGAATTAGATTGTCCAGTTTTTCTTCTGAGGAGTGACTGGTGGGTTTGAACCACCAGCCTTCTGGTTAACAGTCAAATTCCTCAGGCATTATGCCACCAGAGCTCCTAGAATTAAACCCTATGCAATTTACCTGCTTTTACTGTTTTCATCTTCACAGATACTATATTAGTCTGTCACACCGGATTACTTCAATATCATCAGTTTCAGTTTTATCTCCCCTAATGACTTTTCTACATTGCATGTAAAATAAAATGCAAATATATATTTATAAATTCTCAACAAACAAAAAAATGAGTTTTTAATGAAATTTAAAATTTTCAATGGGGTGGTCTCTGTTAAAGTGACCATAGGATTTGGTTTGCTTTAGACAACTTCTTTAATGTATGTTTTTTCAAATCTTAAGTTTCCAGTTTTGATGATAAATTATGTGATTACTCTACTTAAAAAGCCCTTGTGTCTGTAACTCTGCCTTAATAATAGCTATTCCTCATATTACCATATTTGATACATTACTACACTAAAATTCCTTCACTCACAAAATTTGGTGACCCTGTTTTTCTTCCACTAATTAGGTGGTACGGTGGGTAAGGCATTTGGCTGCTAACCAGAAGGTCAACCCACCAGTTGCTCTGCTGGCAGAAGATGAAGCAATCTACTTCGATAAATATTTACAGCCTTGGAAACTAAAGTGGGGTCCCTGTGAGTCAGAATCAACTCAATGTCAGTACATTTGGTTTGGTTTTTTGAATTATTAATTATGTGCAGCAAATAAGGTTTCTTGAAATATTCTTTGATTTCTATCAACTACCCTCCTCCTTCTCTCCATTATCAACACACAGTGTTCATCTGTTACGTATGTTTTTATTAGGTGCCGTCGAGTTGGCTCCAACTCACAGCAACCCCATCTACACCGGAACAAAACACTGCCCAGTCCTGCACCATTCTCACAATCCTTACTATGTTTGACCCCATCATTGAGGCCACTGTCTCAATCCATCTCATCAAGGGTCTTCCTCTTTGTCTCTGACACTCTCTGACCCTCTACTTTGCCAGCACAATATTTTTCTCAGGAACTTGTCCCTTCTGAAAACGTGACCAAAGTAGGTGAGGTGAAGTCTGGCCATTCTTGCTTTTAAGTGGTATTTCAGCTGCACTTCTTCCAGGATCTATTTATTGATTTTTCTGGAAGTCCATGGTATTTTCAGTATTCTTTGCCAACATCACAATTCAAATGCATCAATTCTTATTTGGTCTTCCTTATTCATTGTCCAGATTTCACATACAGATGAGGTAATTGAAATACCATGGTGTAGTTTAGGCTGACCTTAGTGTTCAAATACACTTATATGTAAGTGTGTTGTATAATTTAACATTTTAAAAAATGTGTGAGTGTACATGTATGTGTGCATGTATATGTGTGTGTCAGTGTGTCCTAAGCTGATTCTCTCCTTGTTCTTAGATGCCAATAAGCCAACTGTAACACATGGCATATTAGGTATGTAACAGATCAACATGTTGCCCAGTTTTGTGCCACCCACATAACGATTGATGTCATCTAGTCAATTGTGTGGCTATTGCATCAATCCATCTCACTGAGGATTTCCCTCTTTTTTCTCACTCTCTACTTGGTGGCTCTGTGATTAAAACATTAGGCTACTAACCAAAAGTTCTGTGGTTTGAAACCATCAACTGGTTGATAGGAGAAAGATGAGGCAGTATGCTTCTGCAAAGATTTATAGGCTTAGAAACCCTATGGAGTAGTTGTGCTATGCCCTCCAGTGTTGCTTTTTGTCAAAATCAACTTGATGGCCATGATTTTGGCTGTTTCTCCAACCATAATGACCTTTTCTAGCAATTAGTCTTCTTTAGTGATATGATAAAGGAGCTTTGGTGGCACAGTGCCTAAGACATTTGACTGCTAACCAAAATGTTGATGATTCAAATCCACCAGAGGGTCCATGGAGGGAAAATGGGGCAATCTATTTCCATAAAGATTCACCACCTTAGAAACCCAATGGGGGTATCTATGAGTCAGAATGTACTATATGGATTTGGTTTGGGTTTTTAATGATGTATCCTAGGAGTTCTAGTGGTGCAGTGGTTAAAACATCTGGCTGTTAACCAAAGAATTGCGAGTTCCAACCCACAAGTCATTCCAAGGAAGAAAGATGAGGCAGTCTTCTTCCGTAAAGATTTGCAACCTTGGAAACACTGTAGGGCAATTCTACCCTCCTGTATGGTCACTATGTGTCGGAATGGACTGATGGCAATGGTTAGTGGTAATGATGTGTCCAAAGTAAGCAAGCCAAAGTCTTGCCATCCTTGTTTTCAATGACCATTCTGGTTGTATTTCTTCTAGGATTGACATGAACATTCTTCTGGTAACACAATGTAATCACCAATATTCTTCACCAATACAAAAATTTGAATGTAATCTGATACTCATAAGTACATAAATATTAAACTCAAGTGCTTTTAGTCTCTATTTGATAAGCTATGAAAAGTTAGAGAACATAAAATAAGAAAAGTAATGGATGCCAATAAAGTAAATATTCCTAATCTACTTCCTTTTATATTTTTGTAGTGGTTAAAAGAATAGTGCTGTTGTTGTTGTGTGCCGTCGAGTAGGACCTGACTCATAGCGACCTCTCCTTGGGTTTCCGAGGTAGTATCACTATGGAAGTAGATTGCCCCATCTTCCTTCCAAGGAGTGGCTGGTGGGTTTGAACCACC